AAAAAAAAAAGTAACCTCTATACCCCACGTGGGGCTTGAACTCACGACCCTAAGATCAGGAGTCACATGGTCTACCTACTGAGCCAGCCAGGCGCATCCCCTTACAGTCTCATTTTCATGCATTATTTTAATAAATATTTATTGAATATCTATGATGTGTGAGGTGTTCTGCTAAGTGCATGAAGATTTAACAATGATCATACATTTTAGTAGGGGAGTCAAAGGAAAACAAGTTAACAGTCAAATAAGCAAAATAATTAAAAATTGTGGCTATGTAAGAAATAAAGGGTTGAGCTAGACCCGTGGTTCTCAACCAGAGGTAATCCCTGCCTCCTGCCCCTCCCCCCCCACACACCATTTCTATCCCCTCTGGAGGACATCTGGCAATGTCTAGAGATGTTTTTATTTGTCACAACTTGGTAGAGAGGGTAATACTGGCAAGTATTGGTTACCAGCCAGGGATGCTGATAAACATTGCACAGGACAGCCCCTGCAACAAAGAATTAGCCAGCCCCAAATGTTAATAGGGCTGTGGCTGAGAAACCCTGAGCTAGATGGTGGGGAGGGGGGGTACATGAATTTAGGTCAGGAGGTCACAGAGACTTCTCTGGAGTGACATTTAAGCCAAATTTTGACTAATGAAAAAGAGCCAGACTTGCAGCAAGTGGTGTGGGTCCATCCTGGGCACAGCAGACTTGAAAACAACAATAACAATGAAAAATCCCTTACATTAGTGTGTAGTATACATATGCCCCTACGGAGAGCAAAGGGGGCAATTAAGAGCTCTTTCATGTTTCACTGTGTATGGCTGTCTTGTTCAATTTTGGAGAATAGTTTTTTTTCTTCTTTTTAAATTTAAAATGGGGAAGGGGGAATACAAAAAGCAGGCAGATTGGAAGACAGCCTCTTGTAAAACTACAGGTAGATTTCAGAGAAGAGGGAGATCTTAGAGTATGCCCCACCTGTTCAGGAGGCCCTGGTGTATCATCTGTGGCTAGTCTCTGCTCTTAACCACCTTCTAAATCCAATGGACCTTCCCCCAAAGAATGACAGAGATCACCTGATGTAAAGCCAAATATCTATGTCCAATACTTGGTTTTATACCTTTTAGTTTCGTTATATTTGATGTGTTATTTATCTTGATTTTAAGGGGGGAAAAATAGCCCACCTTACAGTTTGTGTATTTAAATAAGTGTTTCATAAACTGGAAAACACAATATAGATACACACTGTTGCGAATAAAAGGGGAGAGGCTGTGCTCAACTAATAAATCTTTTTGCTCTGTTCCCTTGATTCCAAACCCCCTCTAGGTAAAGAGCGATGAGGACTGGACTAGAGAGGGCAAAAGCCTGGGAAAGGAAGTGCAGGCCAGGAGGAAAGTGATTACAAACAAAAGTAGTAGCCCCAGTTACATTATTCATGCAACTAAGCAGAGGAGAGTAATCCGGGTGGATAAAATCACCACAAGATGGTTGTTGTAGCCCAAGCCCTTGGAAAGACAATGGCCAGCTTCTCCTCAAGCAGCTGAAGACCCTCTGACCTGAGATGTGAAAAGATGATTATGGAATCCTCCTGCACTGTTTGGAGCCCGGCAGTCTGCATATTTTATAAAAGTATCTGTTCCCCAGAGACTGGAAACCAAAGGGATCCAGCGACTGTGTGAGTCATCATTCTTGCTGGAGGGAAATCATGCTTAATCAGTGGTGGTCCAGGAGATGAATGAAGTAAATACACTCTCTGATCACCTGACAGACCTGGCATATATATAAAAAATAACTGCCCCGGGGCACCTGGGTGGCTCAGTCGTTAGGTCATGATCCCAGTGTCCTGGTATCTAGTCCCACATCGGGCTCCCTGCTCAGCGGGAAGCCTGCTTCTCCCTCTCCCGCTCCCTCTGCTTGTGTTCCCTCTCTCGCTGTGTCTCTCTCTGTCAAATAAATAAATAAAATCTTTAAAAAAAAAATAACTGCACCTATCGACACACTTTCCTGGCTTATTTGCCTTTCTATGTTTCTTTTTTTTTTTTTTAAAGATTTTATTTATATATTTGACAGAGAGAACACAAGCAGGGGGAGTGGGAGAGGGAGAAGTAAGCTTCCTGCGGAGCGGGGAGCCCGATGCGGGGCTCGATCCCAGGACCGCGGGATCATGACCTGAGCCTAAGGCAGACGCTTAACGACCGAACCACCCAGGCGCCCCTGCTTTTCTATGTTTCTTGTTGACTTTTTGCCTGGGAAGGGTTTGCAGGCTTTGAAAAGTAACTCAACTTACACAACTCTGTGTCTTTTCTTGGCCTTGAGGCAGCTTCAAAAGATGACACCAAATGGAACTATGTGTGCCTAGAGGGAAAAAATAAATAATGGTGAAAAATGTTTATCAGCAGCCTTCTCCAGCACCAAGCACTTTCTCACTTTTACTCACGTAATTTCCCAATTTAACATTCATATGAATTCAGCAAATAATATGTAGCAAAAGTGAATTCATAGCATTTCTTTTAGCACTGGAAGGAAACCCAAAAGTCATTAAATCAGTTTAATCGAGAAGCCCAGCCTAGGACATTAAGGGACTGACAGAGCCAGAACTGAAACTTGTCTTTCCACCTTGAAAAAAGCAAATAAAAAATATCCTAAGCAATTGCTGGTTTTTCGAGCCCACTCTCTCAGGTTGTTTTTCTTCCCTGTTATGCAGACTCCAGGCACTTTCTTCCCAGAGTGCAACAACAATCCAAAGCTCCAAACAAGTTTGGGACCAGCCTTGGGTAGGGGTAGGGGTAGGGGTGGGGGGGGGAGAGCCATCACACAGAGTGGTGCCGGTGTTCCTCTTTGGTGCATCTCGCCAGATTTAATGCAGCTTTGATATGATTCGCTCGAGCAAAAGGTGAGCACTCGCCGGATCAAGCGGACCCTCCAGCAAGAGAGTAAAGTTTGACTGTTTTCCTCCTCGCAATTTGAAAGAGATTTCTAATTCTCCCCGCCCCTCCCCCTTCCCCTGTAAAGTTTGTTTTCTAGCTATAAAGTCGCTTCAACTCTCGGTTTCCATCCCAGTTGCCTGAGAATCGCAGGAATTAGCCAAGTTCACTTAGACGAAGAAAAAGATACCTTTGTGTACCTAATGAGAGCCACCGCGTGGCCAAGGATAACCACGCAGAAGGAAACATTTTTGTCTCGGGCTTCTGTAAACGGGCAGGGGGAGGGTTAAGCCGACCCGAAGGCGTGTTTTGTGGAGTGGCTTCGAAAGCGGCCGAGGCAGCCGAAGCAGCTTTCGAAGTTAGCAAACAAAGCGTCTCCCCAGTAACCGCCCGGTTCCAGACGAGGCTCCTGCCACTCAGACCGCGGAGTCGCAGCGTCGGCCGGCCCCCGGCTCCTCCTCCCTGCGTCTCTCTTCCCTCCTCCCAGTTCCCCAACGGATACGAGCCACCAATCCCCGCAACAAACAACCCTTCAAATGCAAGAGTGCCGCGGCCCTCTAACGGGCGGCCCCCCACCCCCACCCCGCCCCACATCTGTCCTGCACTCGGGCGCAGCAGCTGATTCATCTCCAGCCAGGCCCGGGGAAGGAACTGCGCTCCAGCAAGTTGCAGGGTAGCTTCCAGGCTGGTGGTTTCCCCTAGGACCATGTTTCCCCCCCTTTGCCGTTTTAGATGTGTGTTCTCTTAGGTGCCGAGCAGTCGGCCAACCACAGAAGAAAAAAATTGTAAGGTTGCTGCCTTCTTAGTATGACGCTTTTTTCCATGTTTATTCATTTTAAGTCCTGTAATTGGTAAAACCACCCAAGTTTTGTAAACTCTGGCCTTAATTCACTCTCGAGGCTGGGGTGTCTTTTTTTGGGAGGGCGAGTGGGTGGGAGGCTGGCTTTAATTTTCAGTGTAATCCCAAAACAGAGGCTCCAAAGTCTAGTTAGTCATCGTTTGGCTGCCTTAGTCCTCTTCGGGTTTAACCTTATTTCCACGGAGCTTTTCCTGCCGGCTTCTGCATCGAAGTTACAAAACAAAAACAGCACAGAGCCGAAACTGGAGGCAGACTCGGGCGCTGACGTCTCTACTAGGCTTATTTACGGTTTGGCTTTTTTTTTTTTTTTTTTTTTTAAGTGATGGGGAAAGTCTTAACAGCGGCATGCGACAGTTCGTTTACTTCAAAACAACGGGACACACACGCGAAAACTAGACCCAGCGGAGAGGGCGGGGAGGGGGCAGGCGTTTCTTGAAATCAACCAAACAGCATCTGGTCTTTTAATAGGGTAATCTCATCAAGGAACTCCTGTTGGAGCCCTAACTCTCAACCAAAATAAACCAACAGGAACATGTGTTTACTCAATGGGTAGTTTCTGTTTGAAATACCTGAGGGGAGAAGGGGTCCCCTAACAGGGCTTAAGTCCTAAAAGTAGACTGTTTCCCGACAGGTGAGCAGCCCCAGTGTGGTCGCCCCCTTTCCTTAAAGGCGGCAGCCGCCTGGGTCCGAGGGTGGGGGTTTCAGGCCGAGTTTTTGCAGTGCGGCGGGCACGCGCCCGGGCAGTCCCCAGGCTGAGACTTTTTTAAAGAGCATGTGAGCATGACAAGTGTCTGTCCGCAACGTGTTAGATTTTGAAACTGCCTTGCAATCCAGTCCGGAACTCACAGCCTTAGCCCGGGGTAACAGACATTTGCCTGGGGTGTCTGTGTCTCACTCTCCTCCCCCAAAAGCCCCCACCCACCCACTGCCGTCCGGGTTGGAGGAAGACCCCCGGGAAGGGCAGGGTGCGACGCGCCGCACCCGCGTGTCAATGGCAGCCGCGCATTCTGGAAGAAGTTGGTTCTTGTTCTGAATACTTTTCCTACGGTGCCCCGCCCCTTGAATCAGAAGCAGCTGTCTTCTCCTGCGGCTAGAGCCGGGACGGTGGAGTTTGGGGCAGCTGTCAAAAACGAGAGGGGAGCCTTTTCTTCCCCGGGGTGGAGGAGGGGGCAGCCTTTTTCCATCTGTTGCAATTTCCTAACCAAACGCACCCTCGCCAGCCGGAGGAAGAAAGGCCCAAAGGAGAAGCCCGGGCGCCCGGCTGGTGTCGCTGCCGCCGCGGAGCGAGGGATGCGGGCGGCGTGCGCGCAGCAGGGAGGAAGGATCGGGTTTCTGGGCCCAGCCACCCCCACGAGGGACGGGTGACAGCGGCCGGAGAGGCGCGGAGTGAGGCAGCTCGGCCCGAGCGCTCGGTGCTGTCCTCCCCAACTGGAAGGTGCGGGGGAGGGGCGGAGGAGCGGCGGGGCGGGCGGGGGACGGGGCGGGCGGCTGGGGGCGGAGGCAGGACCTCCTGTACCTTCCCTCTTCGCCTCTCTCACTCTGACAGCGCCGAGGTACGACGAGGAGGAGCGGGGAACAAAGGAGAGGAGTGGGGAGGGGAGCGAGTTGGGCGAGGGGAGCGAGTTGGGCGAGGGAGAGTCCCCAAGCCGGCTGCCAGAAGATCCCGGCAGGAGGAAGCCCAAGTGTCACTTGAATTCCACCCAAGGAGCGGGCGCCTGGGATCCGAGCGCCTTGATTAGCAATAACGGCTGGAGCGCGTCCTAAAGTTACGGGAGAGTCGGTCCGGAAGGAGGACAATCGCGCGCCTCCCTCGCCCCCACTCCTGGCCCCTCGAGACCCCAGCATCGCCTCGCGCTGGAAGGGGAGCTCCAGAATGAAAAGCAAGAAAGGTAAGGCTTGACTGGCTGTGCCCGCCGTGGGCGCGGGTCCCGGGGAAACGTGCTCGCCGGGCCCCACCAGGCCCCTTCGGGCTTGGGGCAAGAGTGACTTGGTGGACTTTTCAGCCTGGGGCTCTCAGGCAGGAACCGCCGCGGTTCTCTTTGTTGAGGCTGCGTCTGAAATGGCAGTTGCTGTTTTCCTTCTAGACACAACACGAGGGGCTGTTGTGGGGAGACGGGCCTCTCCACGCTGTTGGCACGTTGTCAAGAAACACGCTCAGCGCCTTGTTTGTGAGCCTCCAAGTTTCATTGTCTCAGCGGACACCCCACGCTCCGCGGAGCCGCCGCGTGGCTTCTCGCTTGTTCTTGCGGGCGGAGGTGTGGGCCGGGTCGGGGGGACCCCCGCCCCGATTCTCCCGGACCGCGGAGCGGCTGCGCCTTTGTCTGAAAGTTGTGCTCCGGACCCCACTCCCTCCCAGCTGGGCCCGGGCACTCTCTTCTCTGGGTATGGGGTGTTTTCACAATCAAGGAATGCGACTCTGGCCCCCAAACCGCCCGAGGGTGTCGGTAGCCTTGGAAAGCTAGACTTTTAAAAACTCCTAGCCTCTAAAAGTTTTCCCACGATGAATTTGGGGCAAGATGAAGAGTTAGGACTGACGGCGAGCAGCTTAAAGCGGCGTGTAGTCAGAATGAGTCCAAGTGTGACAAGCAGGCTTGGTTGTAAGTGCACAGAGTGAGTCTGTCATTGTTTCCACGAAGCGTTCTGGAAGCGTTACAACTAAAACTTGCCGTCAGTCTGGTTTAAAAACAAAATACACAGAAAAAAAAAAAACCCACCGCCACGAAAGGTCAAAGAATGTTAACTCCCTTTTGAAGTTAACTTTTTGAGTCCCTGACTAGGAGGTACCCCGAACGTTCCGTGGAGAGCCAGAGTTGGCTTTTCTGTTGTGATTTATGTGGAGTGGTTCAAAACAGAAGTTAATCGCTCAGGGAAGCCAGCGCGGGGGCGGGGGGGGGGCGGCTGCTGCGCATGCCCAGGAGCGTCCCGGAGTTTTTGTAACCACATTCTTTCAGACTCGTCCAGCGGATACAGTCAAAACTCAATATTGTTAGTGGGGCAGCTTTCAACCCAAGAGGGTTCCTTCGGCCACGTTTTACCTTGGAAGTTCTGTTCCTTTCATTCTGGGCCGGTGGCTTCAAAACACACGGAGCTTCTCAACCCATGCTTTCCCAGCGAGAGTAAAATTAAATGTCAACACCCGGGACGTTCATAGTAGTTGGTGGTAGGACTCCCAGCGAACGCTCCACCAAGGCACAGTGAGAACGTTGAGGGTTTAGAGGTTCGGATGTTTAAAAGGACTCGGTAACAAACGCTCGCGGGGAGCGCCCGGGGTGGCGTCTGGGAGGCTGTGTCACCTCGACAAGGACTGACGGGTCTAGATCCTTACTGGAAGGCGTTCTCGCTCTCCTGGTGGAACTGACGGGGATCAGTGGGGGGTTTTGTTTTTGTAGAGTGGTTCTTGGGAGCCGAAAGCAAAGCTGGGTTTCCGCCTGGGGCGGACTCCCCCCATTGTTCGGGCTCGGATGGGGAAAGCGCAGATCTGCCTCGCAGGTCCTCCCCCGCAGCCCCTCGGGTACGCTCCCGCGGCTCTCCTCGTCCCCCCCCCCCACCGCCAGCGCTCCTCGCCCTTACCCGGAGTCCCCCTCGAGTACCTCCCGGTCTCCCTCTCCCCCCCACCCCCCCCAGCAGAGGCACTAGGCTGGGACCGGCCAGCCGCGGGGTGGGAATATTCGGGGTCAGCGGCCCCGGGCGCGCCGGGTAAGGTCCTGCCTGCTACCGAGCGCCGACTCATGGAAACAATGAAAGGTGACGTGTTGGAAGGGAAACTTTGCGACTGGTTCACAGCTTGTGCGGGGGAGCCGAGACTGCTGAGATTGCCCAGTTTCTTTCCCTTTTTAGGTTTTCCCGGCAAATCCTATTGAGGGTGGGCAGACCCCTCAGAATAAGGGGATGTTGAGATTCACAGCACCGTTTTCTAGTTTCTTCTTGTAATCTGAAACTCTTTTAAGTCCTCTAGTCGTGTAGTTGGAGGGGCGGATTTCAGTTGAGGCTGAGAAACTCACAAGAACAAAAGCCTCCCTGGCTGTCCTCCCTCCCGGGCCCCTCCCTCTCCTCCTGTCCTCCTGCGTCCTGCCTCCCCGCCCCTTTCCTAAAACTACCCTGAAGGGGGCCCGCGTTCCGGGTCTGCTCAGCCAGGAGCCGGAAGAAATCTGTCCTGCCTGGCTTGTGGAGTTGGACTATTGTCTGTTTTATAAAAGTCTGTGAAAATCTTTTCAAGTTTTCTTGGAGACAAAAGTACTTTAAACTCAGTTGCAGGGCCCGAGATTTGGTAAGCCTGGTTTGTGATAACAGTGTCTTGTCTTTAGAAAGCTGAGGATTTCAAAATGTTCTCACCCCGCGAATGGCTTTAAAACAAGCAGAGAAGATTCAGTGAGGAATATCCCCGACGTCTTTTTACTCCTAGTCTCTGACAGTTTGGAATTCTTGCTTTAGAACTACTCTCCAGCTGGGCCCAGCCAAGCGCACCTTGGAGTTTGTGCCTGGGGTGTTAACTACGATTCCCGTGACATCTCCTGAGATACTCTAATCAGGAAACTTGTTAGGTTTCCATTTTTCCTAATTGTATACTTAAACTTTTCCTTCAATTATTCCTATTTCTAGATCCTTCTCTGGCATCTTCCAGATATTTTTTAAAAAGTCCCAACTTTAACAACCACGATCTCTGGCCTTCCCTCGCCAACCCCAACCCCAGGTCCTATTAAGAAAAGATTGATTTTTCGCGCTGTGGGATCCATAGGCCATCTTGTGGCTTTCTGAACATTTCCTTGTATGTGGATGGAGTAAGAGGCTTGTGATCCCCCTCCCCCACCACCACATTTTTTAAAGTGTAAGCAGAGCAGGACCTTTGGAAACAAGTGGTAACCGGGAAACTTTTCAAAAGCTGTTACAATAGGAAATGAGTAACGTGGAAAAGTCTTTTTGTTTTTCCAAGTTGAGCCACAATCCGGAGGGAGAGTTTTAATGAAAACAGTCCTGACAGCAGCAAACGTGGTTTGCTGCAGTGAAGTATCAGCTGGTGTGGCCAAGGAACTTGAAGTCTTAACTTCCTGTTACTTCAGCTTTTGTGCACATATTGGAAATATTTGTTAAGAGGTCCAGAGGCCTGGCATTCATTTATTTAAATGAACTGAGAACACAGTAAAGTCACACACTGCAGTTTAGTGTTGCTTAACTGAAACCTGCTTTTGTGTGTCACTAACCTATTCTGAAAGATCAGGCTTCTTGTCAAACTGAGCAAGCAGATCAAAGGGCAGCCTTCAGGGGTTTTTTGTTTGTCTCAAACTCTTTGTTATTATCAACTTACAGTTGGGAATTCACTGTTCACTGAGGAAATTTTCACACTTTTCTAGTTTAAAGGTGGGGGAGGGGGATTATAGCCTCGAGAAGAATGTCTGGCTTTTCAGACATTGAAGAGTTTAAACAAATTGCTTTATTCAAATTTGCCGTAGTCATTCAATTACTTGACACATTTTTTAAAAGTTAGATTTCTTTATTTATTAACGTAAATGTAAAACAGGAACTCATTTCTAATTTCTTAAGGTATCTATTAATAGTTCTTTACCCAAATTTCAATATAGGTTTTAAAAGTTTCTCATCTGTTCTACAGCGAAAGCAGTTTCAGTTTTAAATGTGCCTCTTTTTTTTTTAACTTTTTTTTTTAAGCAGTTTAATGAAAACTTCTGGGAAAGGGAACATCAAATACATGGCGGTTAAAACTTCGGATTCTTGTGCTGTTTATTGATGGCTGTTTGTTAAGCCTTGAGCTAAAGTGAATTTGCAAGATCATCCTGCTCTTTTGTTAGAACTTGCTTTACTTTGTCTTTGGAAGGTTCTGCCTTTTCTGTGGACACTCCCTCTAGCACCATCTGCCCCCTGCAGTCCAAAACTAAAAATGTGTCCCCAAGTAAAGTCAGACTCAATTAACTGTGAGCTAGCTCATCAACGAATCTTGGAATGAGTAGCTTTTTGAGTGTTAAAATGCTTTAAAAGCATGGGTTAAAAAATTTTTTTTAATGCATCGAATGGTTTATCACTATGTGGAATATTTCTCTTTTATTTTTTATCAAGGTAAACCACTCTGAATTGCATCAACAAAGTTAAGAACTTTCAATTTTCTTTCAATTTCATGTTAATTGTCTTTATATAGAAATACTGGTATTTTCAAGCATGCGATAGTTTGTAATTCATTTACATTTTAAACATTCTAGATTGTCTTCAAAATAGTGAATATGTTCCTTTAGTCATTCAGAGTTGCCAGTTGTCCTTTTGAAAGGGGGGAGGGTTTGTAGCATTTGTAATTTAAATTTTTTAAAGTTCTCAAAATTATGTTTAAATGTTAAAGGAGCCAGGTCTGAATTTTTGTTGACCCCAGTCTATTATATGTGATGTAAATATTCTCTATGGCTGTGAATTCTTAAAATTTCTGGTAGGATTAAAGTACTTAAAGACAAAAGAGAGTTTCCTCTGGGGGGTGCATATTCAGTTTTCTTTGTCATGTAATAATTTAAGACTGAACTCTACTTCTTGGTATCTAGTATTCTAGATTCTGACTAAACTGCCAGTTGAAATTTATAGAAATTTAAAAAGTTTATTCAGTATTAGCATCTTTTGACCTCTTACTCAAGTATTAGGAGTAGAAAAATATTTTTGTGTAACGAAACTGAAAACTTCAGCGGCTGTTTGTATTTAGTAAAACGTGACCGGTAGTGTTGGCCATTAAAAGTAGGTGTCTAGTTTTTGAATAAATGTAAGTAGCAATGAGAAAGAAATGACCATGGAGTTGGCAGAAAAAATTGACATACATTTTACCTTTAGAAATCTAACTGGGTTGGGGCACCTGGATGGCTCAAGTCGGTTAAGTGTCGAACTCTTGCCTGCAGCTCAGCTCTCTATCTCAGGGTCGTGAGTTCAAGCCCTTCTTTTGGCTCCACACTGGATGTGGAGCTCACTTTAATATATATATATATATATATATATATACTAGGTTGTGTAATTTTCCCTCCTTATATAAGTGGGGAAAAATGTATGACTCTGCCCTTTTGTTTCCAGCTTTCAATGGAAGGAGGAGGCAGAGTAGCATTTAAAATGTACATTAGGACCCTTGGATTGTTTTTCCTAAGTTAGCAATGACCTCAAAGAAAAGGTTGTTAGATACATTCCATGTGCTGTAGCACCTTTCCTATTTCACATGTAACAAACTATTCACTTTGGGTGCAGCGTTGCCTCCCCGTGCTGCACTGGACTTTTCTGAGCATCACTCAAAAGGAATGTGAGAAGTTATATTCTACAGCAAAGTGGGTATGAAAGGGCTTCTGACAGTTGGTTGAGAATCTATAACGTGCCACTGGTCACATTACCCTTGAGACTTTGACATGTGGTCTGAACGTCAAAATAGCAAACACCGGTCCTTCGCTTGGCTCGCAGGAGTCAAGACGGTCTGGTTGCACGCTAAATGGTCGGAAGAGATAAGCTGGGCATTCGGTGCTCCCCTGACAAAAGCCTTTGTCCTTGACCAGGTGTTGTTGCGGCATCGGGCAGTGAGACGGAGGATGATGATAACATGGACATCCCCCTGGACCTCTCCTCCTCTGCTGGTGCAGGCAAGAGAAGGCGAAGGGGCAACCTGCCCAAGGAGTCTGTTCAGATTCTCCGCGACTGGCTGTATGAGCACCGATACAATGCCTATCCCTCGGAGCAAGAGAAAGCATTACTGTCCCAACAGACACACCTGTCTACACTACAGGTAAGGAATAAGGACTTGAGGTGTCTGCACGGGGCGTGGTTTCTTTTCCATTCCGAAGACATTTTATATATAGCATTCTTGTTTATCAAATCATTAAATGCCTCCCCACTCAAAAAAAAAAAAAGAATTTTCTCTTGCAAACTTTAAAGTACTAAAAGCTAATAACTGGCTATTTAGAGAAACAGAAACACTTGACAGTCATCTGTCAAATAGCATTTCCTTTAATGCCTAAAAGGGCCTTCTTTTATGCACCAAACATAAAGAGGAGGTCAGATCTTCCTCTATTGCCCAGGAAACTGGTTTGATATTTAAACAAGGACAGACTTCAGTGAGGTAATTCATGTTATGTCTGTTGACACAGTCATTGGATTTGGGAAAAATCAGTAACTGGGAGGAGTGGCCCTTTTCATACAGGAAAAGTTCTCCTGTAGTTGGTTAATTTAAATGCTGGGGCAGTAGGTAATAGGTTAATAAGGGGGAGCGTTAAAGGGTAAACTTCCCTCCCTAAACTCATTTTCAGACATTTGAGAATTTTTATCCTTTTCTTCCTCCTGAAAAGGCTTAAGGATGATGAGATTTAAAAAAAAGGGAATTTGTATTAGAAGAGTAGGTTTATGGCCGGAGATAGCTCTCTTTCTTGGCCGAGCTCGAATACCTTGAAATAACTTTGGAAGTTCTGATAAGCCCTTTGATGCCTTCTTTACTACAAAGAGAGAGATCAATTAGGCATCCCACAGAAGGTTCTCAGAACGTGTCTGCCCAGTGTTGAAGCATACCCGTATGATTTCAGGTCTGTAACTGGTTCATCAACGCCCGCCGCAGGCTCCTCCCAGACATGCTGAGAAAAGATGGCAAAGATCCAAATCAGTTCACAATTTCCCGCCGTGGGGCCAAGATTTCTGAAGCTAGCTCTGTGGAGTCAGCCATGGGCATCAAAAACTTCATACCAGCTCTAGAGGAGAGCCCATTTCACTCCTGTACAGCTGGACCAAACCCAGCGCTGGGGAGGCCGCTGTCTCCCAAGCCGTCGTGCCCAGGATCGATATTGGCGCGTCCATCAGTGATCTGTCATACCACTGTGACTGCCTTGAAAGACGTGCCTTTCCCTCTCTGCCAGCCGGTAGGTGTGGGACAGAACACAGACAGACAGCGGGTAGCGGCGGGCAGCTTCACAGACACCTCCCTCCTGTACCCAGAGGACTCGTGTAAATCTGGACCAAGTGCAAATCCACAGAGTGGTCTTTTCAACACTCCGCCCCCTACTCCGCCGGACCTCAACCAGGATTTTAGTGGATTTCAGCTTCTAGTGGATGTTGCACTCAAACGGGCTGCGGAGATGGAGCTTCAGGCTAAACTTACAGCTTAACCCATTTTCAAGAAGAAAAGTTTTCACAGGTGTTATGATTGTCGGGGTGATGGCAAGAGTCGAACTGCATTATTTTATATATTTTTTTATTAATATTTGCACATGGGATTGCTAAAGTGAAGCTTCCTGTTACTGAGAGGTCTTCAATGGAATACAGTCATTCCAAGAACTGTAAACTCAAAGCTACTGTAGAAACAAAGGGTTTTCTTTTTTAAATGTTTCTTGGTAGAGTATTCATAATGTGAGATGGTTCCCAAGATCATGTGATTATTTTTTTTCTCACTCTCTCCCCTTCCCTTTTTTTGTTCGTTTTTTTTTTTTTTTCAGACTGTGCAATACTTAGAGAACCTATAGCATCTTCTCATTCCCATGTGGAACAGGATGCCCACATACTGTCTAATTAATAAATTTTCGATTTTTTTTCAAACAAGTATGAATCTAGTTGATTGATCCCCCTTTTTTTCATGATGTAATAAAGTATTTTCTTTAAAATTTACTGTAATGCAGAGTATTTTGTTGAGGGAGACATTAAAAATGAGTAGGATTATAGCACCCAATGAGCAGGAAGTTGGGGGTAGGGTGGAGTGTGAGTTAGGGGGGTGTCACGAGCTCTTTGAAGAACCGTGGACAACAAGCCAGTACTTATAAACAGGATGTGTGATATTTACTCTTGATAGGAGGCGTATGCAGGCCCTTAAATCTTGACTTAAAACTGCATGACAAATTGAAATGATTCATTCTATCAGTGTTTAGCTAACCACCAAATCCCTTGGTGATCTGTCCTGCATATTTTAAGATATGGCCAGTGTTGAAAAAAGGTCTCGAAGCACATCATTAGGGCATAAGTTTTCAGAAGTAAACAACAACCCAAGGGGTCCCTCTGTATTTCCCTCTTTAACATCACCCTTTAAAAGAACCTTTATCGGGCGCCTGGGTGGCTTAGTTGGTTGGGCGACTGCCTTCGGCTCAGGTCATGATCCTGGAGTCCCAGGATCGAGTCCCGCATGGGGCTCCCTGCTCGGCAGTGAGTCTGCTTCTCCCTTGGACCCCTCCCCCTTCTCATTCTCTCTCTCTCTATCTCATTCTCTCTCTCAAATAAATAAATAAAATTAAAAAAAAAAAAAAGAAAAGAAAAGAACCTTTATCAAGTGCTACAGTTACATTAGGCCTCTACATTCAAACACGGCCTGAATTTGTACAGAAGTCACCTCTTAAAACATTTTCTAAAGTGATTAAAACAGTGGGGTTCTGTCTGCCATGGGATTCTTCATGTATTAGGTTTATTTTCTAAGGTCACAGTGGGTGAAAGCTGGTGCCATACACAAGTGGAGTTTGTTGGGATAGACAATTACTTATGAAGCCAGGATAGCCAGAAGGGAGTTGGTGGTGTTCCTTTCACTTACATGGTTGACCAGATTTGTCACATGCCACAAAACCATTCTTTGTAGTCATGCTTAGTGTGAGGTTTCTTTGTTATTACAGTCCTGTTCTTTCCAGCCCCACTCCAGCTAGGAACTGGCTGTTTGAGGCAATATCAGAGCTTTAGTACGGCTTAAAGAATGTAGAAAAATTCTTTCAAAATTAAGCTTGTCTAATTTTGTCAACTTCTTAGGAAAGTCCCTACTATAGAAAGAGCTAAACTCAAAGTCTTGTAAATAGAAAAGCAATGCTGATAAGTAAAACGAAGAGGTGGACCTCAAGTACGTGAGGCAAAGGTGTGCTCTGGCCTGTGACGGGTACAGCGCCGAAGGGCATCTCAACCACAGGGTCACAGAAGTAGATATAAACCAGAGAAAGCTATAATAAAGTGAATAAAAGGAAAGACTATCAAATGTAAGTGAAATAAACAAAGATGACTAAGACTCATTACCTGCTCTAATAGCTAGATCAAAGACTGAAATTCTTTGAATAGAGATAAGGGAGACCTGTGAGTCCTGAAAGGCTTCCCTTGTTAAGAGGTTTCATTAATCATACTAGCAGGGAGAGAGAAGGAGCCATTTGAGTGATTTTGAAAGAAAAATGTCAAGGGTCAAATGAAGCCCAAAGGTTTAAAACAAATAAAAAAAAGAGTCGTCCAAAATTACCTGTGTTGTTTTTTTTTTTAATCTCTTGAGGTTGATACAGATCCTGGTTGATAATAACTGGTGTGTAATAAATGTAAACCATTAAAAAAACCCAGGTAAATATAATTGGAACGTGAAATGTAAAAGACCATATAACTATTCATATTGAAGCCAAATAGAAATGAATTTCGTGCTTAGTATTTACATGATCTCTTTTCACTTACTTTTAGCCCTGTGTTTTTGTGTTTAAAGTTTATCCCTTTTCGATAAGATACTGTTGGGTCTTGCTTTTTTATCTAGCCTAACAATCTCTGCCTTTAATTTGGTGTATATACTTGATTTATGTTTAATATAATTTTTTGTTTACTTTTTTTTAAGTTTTAGTTTTAATTCCAGTTAACATACAGTGTTATATATATTTAAAATAATTTTTGATATGTGTCTTTTTGGGTTTTTTTTCCCCTCTGCTCCTCTGCCTTCTTTCAGGTTAATTGAATATTTTTAGTGTTCGTTTTAATTTTTCTATTGGTTTAAATATTTTTAGTGTTCGTTTTAATTTTTCTATTGGCTTATGAACTATACTTTTTTTTAATGGTTGTGCTAGGGATGACAACATACATCTTAAATTTACAACAATCTAGGGTTAATATTATACAACTTCATAAAATTATGGAAACTTGCAAGAGTATAGTTCATTCATTCCCTTTGTTTTTTATATATGTTATAGTTAGATATATAATGAATCTAACTACAATGGTATAATTTTTGTTTTAAGCAAGTCCATGTCTCTTTAAAAATTAAAAGAGAATGTATATATAGTCTTTTATTTTTGTTAAATATTTATCACTTCTGGAGCTCTTCATTCCTTTTTGTGACTCCAAATGACATGTTATCATTTCTCTTCGGCTTAAAGAATTTCCTTGAGAATTGTGCGGGCCTGCCACTGACAAATCATCTGTTTTTGTTCATTGAAAATGACTTATTTTACTTTCATCTTTGAAGGACAGTTTCACTAAAGATAGAATTCCGGGTTGATGGTTTTTGCTTTTTGTTTTTTTCCATCACTTTACAGTCATTTGTTTTCTGGCTTCCATTGTTTGGGATGACACATCAATTGTCTCATTGTTCTCTTGTATGTCTTTCTCTGGCTCTTTTATCTTTGGATTTCTGCAGTTGGACTATGATGTGCTTAGGTATGGTTTTCTTTGTATTTGTCCTGCTTGGGGTTGAACTTACTGCATCTGTAAGTTGATGTTTTGTTTTTACCAAATTTGAGAGAATTTGGCCATTATTTAAATTTTGTTTTCTGCCTTCTTCTCTCTAGAACTTCCGTAGATTTATATTAGATCCCCTGACATTGTCCTACATGTCTCCGGGCTCTGTTTTTTGTCAATCTTGTTTATTTTTCAAATTGAATAACTTGTATTAAGTAATTTTTAAAAAAAGATTTTATTTATTTACTTGAAAAAAAGAGCACGGTGAGGGTTGGGGGGCAGAGGGAGGGGGAGAAGCAGACTCTCTGCTGAGCAGGGAGCCTGACTCGGGTTTGATCCCAGGACCCTGGGATCATGACCTGAGCCAAAGGCAGACACTTAACTGACTGAGCCAGCCAGGTGCCTCTGTATTAAGTAATTTTTAATTCACTAACTCCTCTTCTGTTTCTAATATGCTATTGAGCCCATCCAGTGGATTTTCATTCAATTATTATATTTTTTACATGTATCATTCCCATCTGGTTCTTTTTTTATTATTTCTATTTCTCTGTTGAGATTTCCCCATCAGTTTATTAATTACAAGTATATTTTCTTGTAAGCTGTTTACAATAGGTGTTTTAAGGTATTTGTCTATTAACATGTCATAATCAGTCAGTTTGACTGCATTTCACTTCAGCAAGGGTCACATTATTTTTTTGCTTGTCTAGTGATTTTTTTTTACTTTATGCTGGACATTATAGATGATATCTTAATAAGGATTCTGGATTCTGCTACATTCCTCTGAAGAGTGTTATTTTTGTTCTGGCAGGCAGTTCATTTGGCAGGACTGAAACTTCAAAATCTGTCTTCCCTGTCATAAATAGTAGCTCAAATGTCTGATCAGTTCTTTCAGTTTCCAGCTGTAGCCTTTTAGTGGGCCCACGGGGATGTCCCTGCACAAGCGGGCCAAGGATTTGGACAGAGTTTAGATTCAGAGTTAGGTTTGCTCCTTCTGCTGCTCCCTCCTTTGCAGGATTCCTCTCCTAACTTTCCATCTGCTCTGCCAACTCCAACTCTGTCCTTAATATCTCAGGTCGCTGAGGCTACAGCTTTCTCCCACTCTAGTGAAGAAGAGAGCCCTCAAGCATCAAGCCACAACCTGTGCATCTTATTCCTGCAAGTTCCCTTCCTTTAATGGTAAACAACCCTCCAGTTTCTACCTGCTGCTGTTGGTCATTCTCCAGCCCTTCAAGTAGCTTTTTGTTTATTTTTTTGTTCACATTTTGTTATTATTACCTGTAGGGAAGTTAGTTTGAAAAGAAATGACTCCATCATTACTAGAAACTAGAATTTTACTATAGTTACTTTTAAATGCTAAATCACGAGTTCTCAACTTTACCTGCAAATTGGAATCACCTGGAAAGCTTAAAAAAAACAAAAACGGGTACCCGGGAGGCTCAATCAGTTAAGAGTCTGCCTTTGGCTCAGGTCATGGTCTCAGGGTCCTGGGATCAAATCCCATATTGGGCTCCCTGCTCAGTGGGGAATCTGCTTGTCCCTCTCACTCTCCCACTGTGCTCTCTCCCCTGTCTCTCTCTCTCTCAAATAAATAAATAAAATCTTAAAAACAAAAACCTGTGACTTGGCTTATTAGCCAGTTTCTCTACATAAGTAGAAAACTAGGAGTTCTCTTTCCATACCTTAAAAAAATTGTTTTTTTGCTTTTTGTTGAGGTATTAGACAATTTTTGTAAGAAATGTAATTTGGGGCCCTTGGGTGGATAGGTTGGTTAAGCGTCTACCTTTGGCTCAGGTCAGGATCCTAGGACTCAGGTCATGATCCCAGGGTCCTGGCAGCTGGCTCCCTACTCAGCAGGAAGCCTGCTTCTCCCTCTATCTCTGCTGCTCCCCCTGCTTGTGCTCTCTCTTTCTCTCTTTATCTCTCTTTCTCTCTCTGACAAATAAATAAATAAAATCTTAAAAAAAAAAGAAATAGCAATAATTTATGGTTGATGGTCACAGGAGGACAGCTAATAAATGAGGAAAGCATAAAAAAGGATTTCATCAAATGTCAAGGAAATAGTTTTTGAATGAAATGTTTTCTAGACATCAATAGAATGTACAACCTTTGAAGCGCTGTCTGGTTGACTTGCAAATGAAATGAAACTCCATGGTGGGAATTCACTCAGACTTGGAGAGAACATATATATAGACCAGACATTTAACTAAATAACATA